TGCGCGCTGGGCTCGGTGCCAGGCGCGCGGCGGGGGTGGGGAGGAGAAAACAGGGAGGCAGCCAGGAGGAGAAGGAGCGAGGGGCAGGGTCCCACTTGGTGCCAGGTGCTTCCTCCTAGGACAAGGGCTCGCTTGGAATCCTCGCAAAGATTCTGTGAGGTCCCAGGGCTCCTCCTGCCCATCTACAGACAGAGCAGAGCCGTGTGGCAGGTGGCTAGTGGTCAAGTGGTGAAGCTGGGTTCCAGCTGGCCTGGCCTGGCCAGCCCCGGGTGCTCAACGTGGTGCCCAGGGCCAGAGGAGAAAGTGGCATTTCCTTAGGAGACACCAGGGAGGACTTCCTGGTGGAGGAAGCACCTCACTAGCCTGCAAGGCAGAGGAGGACACCTGAAGAGGCTGAGGGAGGAGGGATGTAGAACAGAGAAACCCCATGTTTCATGTGACTGCCCCTCCCTGTGAATACAGGGATCCCCCACCCATCCATCGATAGAAAGAACTGCAGAGACTACGGGGCACTGGCTCCTGTGACGTGGGGACTTGTATAGACAGAGGACAGGCCTTATACACCAGTCCTTCCCAGGGCGCACTCCGTCCCTCTCTTTGGCCGAGTGTGCTGGTCCCACAGTGTAGAGATCATGGGGGTTTTGGAGAAAGGAGCACCGTTTGTAATAATGAATAAGAACATATAGACTCAGAGTCAGAGCTTGGTTCAAAGCAGACTGCCATTTACTAGCTGTGTGAGGTTGGCCTTAACCGTAACCTCACCCGCTCCGAGCTTCAATGTCCTTGTCTTTAGGTGGAGGAAATAGCAACCCCACCTTCAAGGTTGGGGTGAGACTGAAGTAAGGTGATGCCTGGCACAGATGATGCTCACCATTGTCATCATGGATTACAGACTACATTGGTACAGAGAGCTCTGCACCCCCAGGGACAGCAAGACCCCAAAGTAGGACTCGGGTCCTAATTTCTAGTCCCAGCTCAGTTATTGTGTGACCCCAGGCCAGTTGCCCCTCTCTGTGCTCTGGTTTCTCTAAAACGGGGCACTGGTCCCCGAGGCTCCCGCCCCTAGACTGTTCCCTTTCCTCCCCATACCCACCTTGGCCCCTCAGGGTGGTGAAGCAGGGAAGTGATGGCTGAGTCTCATTCACACTGTTCTGGGCTCCAACCTCCCAGGGGCTGAGCCAAGAGGTCTCTGGGTAAATTGTGACCTCCTGTCCTGATTGGTCACTTCCTGCATGACCCCCACTGGGGACGGAGCCCAGGCATGTGTCCTGACTGGGAATCCAACTGTGATCTTCTGGTTCATAGGTTGATGCTCAACCACTGAGCCACGCCAGCTGGGCCTGGCTGTCCTTCTGGTCCTCCTGTCAGTGCCGATGGAGATGAGCAGGTGGGCGGGTGTCACTGTTCCCATTTTACAGATGAGGAAGCGTGGGATCACGTGATCAGACCAAGATGAAGACCCTGCTAAGTCCAGAACTCCCTCTTGGTGTGACTGCCTTCTGGGGTGGACCCTTGGGGGACAGGGGCAGCACATCCTGACTGCTCACTTGGAAAACTGCCAAGAAAGGCAGAACCAAGAGGTGGCAATGAACAGAACTCCGGCCACACATTTTAAAACATAAAGTCAATCAGGAACATTGGGCGAAATCAGCCATATCTGGACAGAGCCGTGGGCTGAGGCAGCACCTTCACACCTGTTGGCTCCTTGAACACAATGGCCCATTTTACAGAAGGGAAGCCGGCGTCCTTCCATTTCTGGGGTAGAAGTGGCACCTCCTCAAACCGGGGCAGGAGAGGCCTTGGTCCCACAGCCACTTGTTGAAGATACTCTACGTGCCGGGCCTGGGCCTAGCTCCTGCCTTCCGGGAATAGGCTGTCAGGTTGGGTCAGATGTCATGACCTTTGCCTCTACAGAGGTGTGCAAAGGAGGGGCACCTAATCCAGAGAGACTTCCTAGAGGAGGTGATGCTTCAGCTTAAAAGGTGGGAAAAGGGGGGAGGGCACAGCTCAGGCAGAGAGGACAACCTGAGCAAAGGCTCACAGGCGTGAGGCTGTGGAAGTGGACGCAGTGTAGAGCAGCTGAGGGCAGAGTTCAAGACAGGGGTAACTGTGCAGGGAGAGTCGGACAGCAGCCAGATCTGGGGTGCCCTAAGGAGCATGGCTTGATCCTAGGGGTTATGGGGAGCCTTTAAAGGTGCCTTTCCCGAGGAGGAGGGTGAGCCAGGCCCATAAGACAGGGGGGTTCTGAGCTATTGGAGGGTAGCAGCATCAGCAAAGAAAAGCAGCTGGAGTGGGACTCAGCCTTGGACCTGGACCTCACCTCCCTACCCCGCCGGGAGTTCTTTACCCCATGCAGGGTAGGAGTGGGGTGGGTGGGGTAGGAAGGAGAGGGGCTCCAAGTCTACTGAGAGGTCTGGGCCCAAACGGTTCAGCAGAGGCGACCCCTGCCTTGCTCCCAGGTCCCAGCTGGGCAGGAACCACCTGGTGAGGGAGACACCATGGTGCCTCATGTGACCTCAGTACCAGAGCTTGAGCACTCTGGGCTCAGCCTCCATGCCCCCAGCCCTTCCTCTGACAGCCACCTTGGGAGGAATCTGTGACCCACCCCCCATCCAAGTCCACCTCCCCAAACTGAAATTTATGCAAAAGACAGGAGGAGAGGGGGCTCTGGGCCGTACTGCTGTAGGAGCTTCTCCAGAGGAGCACCCCAAACCCTCTAAACCAGCCAGGCATGAACACAATAAGCATTTATTGAGCACCAACTCAATACGGCCTGTGCAACACTGGACTAGTGAGAGATATTCACCACTCTGGTCACGTCAGGGAGGCAGATGGGTGAATGGATCCTCTTCACACAGGGTGGCAGTGCTGGAGCTGCCCTGCCTGGGGCGGTCAGGGAAGGCTCCCAGGAGGCGGTGTCCATCCAGGAACCATTTGACAAAAGGGAGACTCAGGGACCAGCACCCATCAGGAAGGGAACTTCTATCAGAAAAAATGAGTCTCAGAAGCCAGAAGTCAAAGGTTATGAGGCAAAGGTCACTCTGCTTTGGGAGCAAGGGAATAATCCGGAGGGGGCTGGCTTTGCCGAAACACCAGGAGGTCTCCTCCGGCTCCCTTTGTCCTGGGTTGGGGGGAAGAAGGTCAAGGGTGCAGCAGGAGTTTGACCAGGAATCTCCGCACCACACCTGGCCCCATGGGCATGAGCCCACCCACCTTTGGGCGGGGCCTAGGCCCAGAGTGAGAACCCGAGAAAGGGCCCAGGAAGTGCAGGGGCGTCCTGGTCGGGTGCTGGAGGTCAGGACCGGAGGTCGCAGGGAGGAGGGGGACCGCACCTCGCTGGTCCTCCCCTCCCCCTCCCTCGTGGCACCACAAGGCACGCAGCCGCACATCGCCCGTGCCAGCCCTCACCTCCCGGCA